AATTGACAAAATGGTAAACGACATTTCTAAATTTAGGGTATTTAGCACTTTGGATCTAAAAAGCGCATATCACCAGTTACCTCTGGCTGAAGAAGACCGGCCATTCACTGGATTTGAAGCTGATGGTAACCTATATCAGTTTTGTAGAGTTCCTTTCGGTGTCACAAATGGAGTTTCAGCTTGCCAAAGGACGATGAGTGCTTTAATCCAGAAATATAATCTCAAGGGAGTTTTCGTTTACCTAGACCAGTGTTTTTCAACCTTTTCTCGAGCCAAGGCACACTTTTTTCAGTGAGAAAATCTCGCGGCACACCACCAGCTGAAAATATGGGGAAAAGACCTTATATTCACAATATAAGTGTTATATTGTTAATATAAGATTTTTAACATTGAAGAAAGATGTTGAATAGGACATCCTGAATAGTACTCAAATAAAATCAAAGACAAAAAAGCAAATTGCCACCTGATGCTGCCACCGTCTGATTTAAAACAGTACTGCACTACATGATTACTCTGCCGGGCGCTACACCGCATAGACCCATAACTTGGAGAATTTTCCACGGCACCCCTGACAATATTTTACGTCACACCGGTGTGCCGCGGCACCCCGGTTGAAAAACACTGACCTAGACAACATAACAATTTGTGGAATGACTGAGGGGGATCATGATATCAATTTAAATGCATTCTTAGAAGCTTCAATAAAGGAAAATTTTACATTCAATAGTGCCAAAACGGTCCTACGAGTAACCCAAATTGACTTATTGGGATATAGAGTTTCTTGTGGCAAAATCAAGCCTGATCCAGAGAGATTACAGCCATTATTGAAATTACCCATTCCGAGAACGAGCAAAGAATTAAAACGATGTGTTGGACTCTTCGCATACTATGCCAAATGGATTCGTGACTATTCATGGAAAATTGCCCCACTGATTAAAGACTGCCAATTGCCACTAAATGATGAAGCTACAACTGCATTCTTGAATTTGCGTAAGGACCTTGCTAATGCGTGTTTAAAAACAATATCAGATGATGAACCATTCACAGTTAAAACTGATACATCTGATGTTGCTATTGCTGCTGTGTTGGCCCAGAATGGGTGTCCTGTTGCTTTCTTATCTCGTACACTGAGCAATAGTGAAAAGCGGTATCCAGCAATAGAGAAAGAAGCTATGGCAATAATAGAGGCGACACGTAAATAGGGGCATTACTTACATGGACGCCATTTCAGATTGTTTACAGATCAAAAAGCAATATCATTTATATTTGATCCTACCAGAAGAAGCAAAATAAAGAATACTAAACTACAGCTGTGGCGACTCGAACTGGGTTCCTTTTTCTACACGATTGAGCACAAGCCAGGATCTGAAAATACTGCTGCAGATACTTTGTCTAGAATTTGTGCTTCTTTGTCCCACATTGATAAACTTAATAAAATACACAAGGAGCTGGGTCATCCTGGAGTTACCAGACTGAATCATTTTATTAAAAGCCAAAATCTACCTTTTTCTCTTCAGGAAGAACGGACGGAATACTTGTTCTAACTGTCGAATTTGTTCTGAGATAAAGCCCTGCTTTTTCAAGCCTGAAGAGAAACCTCTTATTAAGGCAATGCAGCCGTGGGAGCGACTGAGTGTTGACTTCAAAGGGCCATTGAAGGGTCCCAGACCTTATTTATTGGTTATCATAGATGAAATGAGTCGGTTTTCATTTGCATTTCCCTGTGCTGACATGAAAAGCACTACGGTTTTAGAGTGTTTATCTCGATTGTTCTGCTTGTTTGGTTTTCCAAGTTTTGTGCATTCTGACAGAGGAGGATCTTTCTCATCTCATGAATTCAAGTCCTTTTTGCATTTTCGTGGAGTTAGTGCAAGCCGAACAACTCCATATCATCCTACTGGAAATGCACAATGTGAGAGAATGAACCAGACACTGTGGCGAACCGTAAAATTGATACTCAAAGATAAAGAACTCAAGGATCCTCAGTGGGAATGTGTACTACCTGAAGCCCTTCATGCTGTGCGCTCTCTTTTGTGCACTTCTGTTAATGCCACTCCTCATGAATTGTTTCTCAAGTTTCCCAGAAAATCAATGCTTGGAAAAGCGTTGCCAACATGGTTGGTCACACCAGGACCCAACATCTTGGTTCGAAAATTTGTTAGAAATAAAGATGATCCTTTATGTGAAGAAGTCGATTTACTAGATGCTAATCCAAACTTTGCTTCAATAAAATATAAAGATGGACGAGAGTCTACAGTATCAACGCAAGATCTAGCCCCTCTCGGATGCACTGATTGGGTATCACTTTATGATGAGAGTAATAAGTCAAAAGGGGTGGTAATTCCTATTGAACAAAATATTGAATCTGAAGAAGTTCAGAACACTGAGATCAAAAACCAACCTTCAACATTTGAAGCGGAAATGACCCAGGTACCTGTTCCAAGCAGCGTTGGAAGACCGACAAGAATGAGAAAGCCTCCTGAAAGATATGGCGATTGAGAATATAATTGTTAAATTTTGAAGGGGGTAGAGTGTGGTAATTTATATTGTATTATTGCATATTTTGGTATTCTCAACTTACCTGTTTATTGGCAACAGTAATTTGTCTGCCGAGTCATACTCGACTTGCTTTTATCTGAGTCATGTTTGGTTGGTGCTTTATCATTTCATTGTGAACTGCTTTAAGGTGCTGCTAACGTTTAAGTTAATTAAAGCCTAGTATTTGTGGATGGATTAGTTTGTGAAGTAATAAACAGAACTTAGGTTACCACACGAAGATTTATTGGTATGAACTGAGCACAGTACGACTTCTGTTAATAATCTTCAGTTTGCATTGAGAATTTTTTTGAAATTTCATCATACCTCAATCTAGCTGGTACCGGTACCCTAACTGTACATACAGGTGAAAATTCGATGCTTCAGTGTCGCTAACATCGGAGTAGTAGGGCAATATTAAATAATGAAATTGTTTTTATTTACATATGATGAGCATACAATGTTCGGTTGATAAATTGTAATTATTAAAATTTGGTTGCCAGTGGACTAACTAGTACGGTAACTGCAGGCCTACCGTAATTTTTTGAATGGATCGTATGACATAAACTGCTGGTATTCTGCAACGTTGAACGCTGAATGGTCGGCCAAATTGATCTTACACGTTTACCTTTTAAGCCTTTAATTAATTTTACGTTTTGTTCTTAGATTTTGGGCAAATTTCAACGGGAAAGCAACTCCTCATCATATTCTGCGAATAACTTCACAGAACTTCGATCAAGAACGTGCATATAATTTCAATAATTTAATTAACATTTTTATTGAATTTATGGTTTTATTGGAAAAAAAATATATGCAGTGTTCGCAAATCATGACTTATTTGCTGTAGTCCGACAGCTCTAACACTGTTCTTATCTGGTTAGTTTGGGCATGTAATCGAGACCACTTTGACTTTTCCGAATCGAACCGGTTCGCTGGACTGGTTTTGATGGACATGTAATCAGACCTAATGTCTCCGCATTCATATCATGATGGTCAGGGCTGGTATACTACAACCCTTAGATGTCAGCCTGAAACGACTCTTTAAAGCAAACGTGCGAAACCAGTGTATGGCATGGCTGAACGAACAGCCAAAGGTAACTTCAAACGCCCTTCTTTGCCTACAGTTGTGTCTTGAGTGAAGAATGCATGTTTGTTTATTCTGTTGATTGGGGAACTGGTTTCATGATTATAAATAACATGTTTCTTTAACCCATTCGTTTTCTGGAAAGGTTGAAACATTTATAATGTCGAATATTGATTTGTCTTATATGTTTGAGACAATCCTGAATTGAGGTGTATTACTTCGTGATGTTATGTTTGCATTTTGTTTAAATTTACCATTCCAATTTAAGTTGATACCCATCAATCATACTGTATATTTTCGCAAATAAGCTGAGATATGAACTCAAAGAAAGGGTTGCCAAACTGAGAGGTCGGCTAACTAAAATTCCAACAGCTACAACTCGACACAGCGCTTGGTACACTACTATGAAATCAATAACAGTCTGTGATTGGTTGTCATACACGTGATCGCTTGTGTGTTTACTTTCAGCGTTATGTGATAATTAACCGAAAGACTAATGATTTTTTTCTCAATAGATTATGCGATATGGATGAGACTCCAATGCGTTTTGACATGTCAAGCAATTAAACATCACATCCAAAAAGTGATAAAAAAGTCCAACAGGTCATGAAAAAAACATTTGACAGTAGTGATTTGTGATTCTCTACTCAAAACATCCCCAAAGCATAGATTTCCATGGGGAGTGATTATTCATCAGCACTTTAAAGAATGGATGGATGAAGACGACGTATGTTGTGTTGTGTTTAAAATGCCTCGTTCATTTATTTGAACTCGACAAGTTATCATCTTAATAAAAATTGCTAATTTCGACATGGCGTTCATTCTCGCTATTTCCTGAGATAAGACAAAAATTAGTTTTTCAAAAATTGTAACTAAGAGGTCTAGTTGCCTTTGGGTTTCTTTATTCTGTTGGCTGTCCGTATTTGCCACAACATGGTACGTAACTTCCTATTCGTTGTGATCAGTAATCAGTAATTTATTTTTTCACCAAACAGAAAAAAAACACTTCATGCAAATAAATATGAAAAAGGAATTTAAATACGGCATTTCAGGGCGAAAGGAATCGCGAAAAACCAAAACTGGTTAACGAGCAGCGACACCCGTGAATTAATCTAACAGAAATATAAACAGGAGAGAGAAAGAAGTCAAACATTATATCATGAGAAAAAAAAGACAGCAAAATTCAACCAAATACGTACAACACTAGACTCCGAGCACCGTCAGTAATGTAACCATGGAAACGACATTTCAAAGATATGGCCACACAGAGTACGGTGCCGGTAACCATGGACTTTGTTAAGTTCACCTTCAAATAGAGGATGAGGTGGAGCTGAAGTGAGTAAGAGGTGGTGCTGGAGTCATTACAAAGTCCAAGAAGAGTTGAGAATTAAATGCAAAAGCAATCCAATAAGTTAAAAAGCAAGATAACATGAATAACAGGTAAGAAAATACTTAAAAGAAAAAAACACACAAAAATTCTTCCGGCAGGATAAGAGTTATTATTAAGATAGCTCACCTACCTAGCGTATGCAATTAGCCATACCGGTTTTAAAAAATAATATTTGATCAATCAAATAGAAGATGATTTAAATATTAATCAACAGCAGCAATAAATGGATTTTGAGTTTATAGCTCCATCTATATGTTCTTATGAAGACTCTTAGTCTTACGAAATATATTATCTATAAAAGCAATTGGTACATGGTTCAAAAATGTGTAAGGCGAGTTATACGGTTATATCAATATATAAAATAACAATAATTGAGAAAATAGCATACCAACATTTGATACGAAAACATTAAATAACAGATTCAAAAACCCAACTACAACTGTTAGGATCTGTGGATCAGATCGAGGATTTATGGCAATATCAAGACTGAATGCTGACAACACATCAACTCAAGGTCCTGGCAGGAGACAGGTAAGAAGAGAGCATGAGTTTTTTATATTTAAATTTAAAGGTAGAGTATGTGGAGTCGCGTAAACATTGGGGGATACTATTCCAAATTAAAACGCCTTTATATTTTAAGGAATTTTGGGTTTTGCTTAGGGAATAGCGGGGTACAAATAAATTAGATCTTGACGAGGAGCGGGTGTTATGCTCATGCATGGAACTAAGTTGAACAAAATGATTGTCAAAAGCTGCAGGTAATTTCTGCAAGTTTGATTGGGAGGCAGCTCCCCAAGCAGCTATAGCATATTGTAAATGGGATTGGAAATAGGCAAAATATACAGTTCGCAAAGTTGCGTCTTGTACATAGTGCCTGAGCTTTCTCAGAATCCCTACCGATCTTGAAAGTTTTCTGTGTAGTTCAGCAGTGTGGGTGTTCCATTTTAACTGGCTGTCGATATGAAGGCCCAGATATTTGTATGAGTGGACAACTTCGAGAGTGATACCATTTATTTTAATCGAGATGTTTGCATGTCTAGTACGAGTTTTGAGGGTGAACAACATCACTTTAGATTTATCCACATTCACTGTAAATTTGTTACAAACCATCCAGTCATATATTTTTTTAATTTCAGAGTTTACTTTGTCTTGGAGCGTATTCAAATCTTTTGAACTGTCAAGCAAACAGGCGTCGTCAGCGAAAAGTTTGGTCAAGAAGTTGGAGGAGGACGACAGATCATTTTTGCGACGAGGAAAGCAAGCGGTCCCAATACAGAACCTTGAGAAATTCCACAGTGGATGGGGAGCATCGCGGACCTATTGGAATCCACTTCGACAAATTGTTGTCGACCGAACAGGTAATCGCAGAATAAGTTGCCTGTAGCACCTCGAAAACCATAATGTCTCAGTTTGTGTGAGAGAATAGAGCGATTGACGGTGTCGAAAGCTTTTTTAAGATCGAGGAAAATACAACAAACAAATTCTCCTTTATCCAGTTTATCGTAAATATAAGAAATTAGGTCGAGAATAGCGTGGTTGGTCGAGTGATTGGTTTGAAATCCGAATTGACATTTGTTGATTAGGTTGAATTTGGTACAAAAATTGAGCATTCTGCTGTGCAATAGTTTTTCTAAGATTATGCCAATTAGGGGTAGTATTGAAATTGGTCTATAATTTGAAGGATCATTATTACTACCATTCTTAAATATAGGTACCACTCTTGCAATCTCAAGTGAAGAAGGGAAGGTACCTAATCTAAATGACGCGTTGAAAAAGTGACTTAGTGCTGATGAGATGATATCAGCGACAGATTTAAGAATGTGGGATGAAATACCATCATGACCAACAGCTTTTCCCTTTTTCAGGTTCGCTATAATTTGGAAGACCTCTGAAGGTGACGTAGGTTCAAGAAAAAATGAATTTTGCAGGGGAGTACCCAAGAAGTCGGTAAATGAGACTGAGCTTAGCGGGAGATCATCGGCAAGTTTCTTCCCTACCGTTGAAAAGAATTTATTGAATTCACTAGCAATCAGGACTGGGTCAGTCACAGTGGTTCGATTTTTGAGCTTCAATTCTGAGATGGAGATGGAATTTTTGGATTGTATCTTAATGATGTCATTGATCGTTTTCCACGTGCGTTTAGCATCACCTCGGTTGGTCTCAAGGACAGTGCGATAAAACAGTTCTTTAGATTTCCTTTGCAAATGTACTAACATATTTCTATACTTTTTGAAGTAGACACGCTGGGATGTATTGTCCCTTAAAAATTTATTTTTGAACATATTATTTTTGTGTTTGATGGACTTTCTAATTCCCCTAGTGATCCAGGGTTTGGAGTAAAGTTTGTTTTCTCTGTGTGAAAGGGGTCGTAAAGGCGCATGTTTGTTAATTAACCATTTTAGGCGACCAAGGAATGTATCAAAAGAGTAATTGAAATTTTCTCTACAAAAGGTAACACCCACATATTTGCTACACATTGACTCAACATCGGATCTAAAAGAATCGTTACAAAATTTAGACATATCGCGCTTCATGCGAGTATTGGTCTTGATGCTTATATCTACACCTGATATTGTGCACATTACAGGAAAATGGTCGGTCAAGTCGCTTATTAAAATAAATGATGAAGAACATTGGTTTATGGCGTTTGTATAAATGTGATCTATGAGGGTGTGGGAGGTAGAAGTGACCCTAGTAGGTTTAGTAATCACAGGAAGAACATAGTATGACATGAGCATATCGAAATACACAGCAGTGGAATTACTATTGGTGTCGAGTACGTTAATGTTAAAATCACCCAGTATTACAAATTTTTTTTTGGTCATTGCAAGTTTTTCGAAAAGGCGAGCCATTGCTAGGGTAAACGATGGAATATTACTTCTCGGATGGTTGTAAATAATTCCAATAGTGAGACTCTGTAGTTTTGAGTTGGGTTGTGAAAATTTAAGCTCGATCCACATATCCTCAGAGTTAGGGAACGCTAAGTCAAGATCACGAACTATTTGGAAATCTAAATGATTTTTGATGTAGACACCCACACCACCCGCCTGAGTTGGGGAGGGGACATAGAAAAATGTGTACCCTGGGATGTCTACATTGAGAAATGTGGTCCTATTATTGATCCGTGTCTCACTTAAAGCCATCACATGAGGAAGGAAATGAAAATTCGAAGTCAGTTCAATTAGATTGTCAACATATTTTGCTAGCGATCTGATGTTATAATGTTATTTCGAGGTATCGACTGGGTTTTGAATCATCAAAAGGAATAATACTAGCTGATTCCCAGTTGGAGGGATAGGTGGCTAAATCATTCATAGGGAGCATTGGTTATGACTATGTGTGAATGAAATAAGAAAGGGAAATGACATTAAATATAAAATGTATGAATATACAAGAGTCCACATGCATTACGTTATCGAATAAGTGGGAAGGAGCAGTTGAAAAAAGTGGACAGTAACTCAAATTTGACAAAGTAGGACAGAAATACATTGTAATAGAGTATTATTTGTTTAAAATGTTTGCACTTATCTGATCTTCTCCAAATCTTCTTCACTATTTACTGATAAAGTGTTAGTATCTTTATTTTTTTTCCACCAGAACCTTTCCATTGGATGTCCACAGAAAAGCGTATCCGCAACGTTTTTTTCAGGACTTTCGCTTGATAGAATAGATTTTTATTTCTGTCTGTTAGATTCTCGACAATGAAGGTTTTCGATGAATTTGGGATACAAGTTGAATTTGAAGCAGATTTGATCAGGTGGCGATTCTTTATAATTTTATTTCGGATCTTTCTGTTTGTAAATTTAGCAATTACGGGTTGGTGGATTTTGGAGTTATGTGTGGGAGAACGGTGGGTAATCGAGATATCGCAGGGTTTGATGTCAACCTTAATCATTTTCCCCATCTCCATCACCAGTTTGTCAGTGTCCTCATTTAGTGCAGGGGCAATGCCATGGAACTCCAAGTTATCCAATCTTGAGCGCCTTTCTTGTTCTTCTACTTTTTCGGTAGTATAGAACAGTTCATCCTCAAGGTCATAAACTAGGTCTTCAAGTTCCCGGATTCTTTTACAACACTTTTTGAGGTTGTCTTCCATCGATTTCTGTTTAGCAGTTATCTCGTCATATGTTTCTGATTGAAATTTTTGAGACTCCTTGATTAGGGCGATGTCTTGTTTGATTTCCTTCAATGAGTGCGTTTGTTCTTCTAAGCACTCTTTGAGCCCAGGGCTCATAGGTAGGTATTCCGAAGAGATGTTGCCGACATTGAAATTATCTGTGATGCATTTGGCAATGAGAGCGGGAAGTTGGATCTCTATATTCCTCTGGATTGCTTCTTGTAGATTTAAATTTAGGTTTGTGAGTGTCTCGTGGTGATGTATAGAAGGGCCTATTGGAGAGAGGCTAGAATCTGGTAGACTTCTGCTGAGACGTGGTTTGGGCTTCGGCTTTTGGGTGTTGAGGAGAGTAGCCTTGTCAGTGTTGGTGTTCGACATATTGCTGATATGATGTTCAATTGGCAGCGATGATAATTAAGTTAGACTATTTTAAGGTTTATACCTGTAGATCTTAATTATACAGCGAATAATGAAAGAAAGGTTTGCAAAGCTAATTGCACATTCACTTTGCATACCTGCGATTTTTGGCAGTTCTTATATTTGCGAGCAGTTTTTTTAGACTATGAAAGTTAGCAAGTCATCCCTCCGCACACGACCAATGAACGAGCATTTGCATGTTTTCTTGAGACTAGCAAACCAACGAAAAATAAGGCCAAACATCGAGACCAAATAACCAGCACAAGTGAATGAATATATAGATATGTTTTATGTCTTGTTTGCTGTAAGATTCAAGTGTAATTTCAACACAATACATTCAGATACCCATTCCTGTACCTAATTTCTTGGTTTGCGGCCCGCGTGGTCAATCATTTTCCAAAAGTGGCCCGCGACATGTTTTGAGTTGGAGACACCTGACGTAAGGTATAGGAGTAGAAAACCGCCGGACTACTACCCCACGACTTGGTAACCCTGTGCGTTCGGGCATGGTTTTAAATACTTTCGTCGCCTTTTAAGCTGATAAGGAATAAAAATAGAAAATAGAATCCACTACAAACCATTTAACCGTATTCATAACTCAGGTGATCACTGACGATTCTTATGGTGACGGTATCCCCATCAGGGGCGATAGAGATACCTAGAGATGTTTTTGAACGAGTTCGCCGATTTAGCTTCAGTGAAATATTTCCGATATCTGTTAGAATACCGGTAGGTACTGTCCAAATTATCAACTTGGCAAGCGAATTTGTTAGAAAAATATTTTATATCTGACAAAGCAGGGAAATACGAAAATAACACACATACAAAAGGCTGTCATCTTCCTTGTTAGTATGGCTACCGGTACCGGTACCAGGAGAAGAAAAATTATCAAGTACCGGTACGGTAATGAGATCCATGCTGACGCTTGATATTTGGTCACAAAATTGCAGGTATAATATTTTAACAGTTCTAGATAAAATATTTGTCGCTGCAAGAAGGTTTACAACTTGCAGACATAGGTTGTCAGGTTGTGGTACAGAATATTATGGAAATACGGACATCATAACAGAATCGAAAGATGAATACATCAGGTATTGATTCAGATATTTTATTTTGTGACAAAGAGTATGATACTGAATTCGGACTGTCAGCAAATACTGCTATTTCTAGAAATTCCGCTTGAATACTAACTGAGTATTCAACTATACATGTGTAACGTTTGTAGTGCAAGTTATGATCATATCAATGCGCAACATTTTTAAACATTCATTTGATAGCATATTTTTGATTTGTTCTCTGTGTGTATACCGGTACTGTTTTAACAATGTTGGCCACGTCAATGTATCGATTAGGCTACAAACCTGCTCACGTGTGATTAGTGTTTTCCCTGATAATTGCTTTTATGAGTGTCTGCACACCGAATTTGCCGCCATGGTTTTGCCTTTGTTTGTATATTAAACCACTTGTCACCTTTTCCGCAATGCCCAATCTAGCAATCAGTATAGTTTTCGTGGCTTGGCTTTTCTTAAAGCTTTCATGGCTTCATGAGTATGACTATCGTCGCCAATTTATCACATTCCACTCCCCACATTATCTATGCATGAGGTTGTAGGTATGGGTCATTATCAACGTAATTGTTGAAAGTACTGAAGTACAACAGCCCAAAAGTTTAACACTATCGTGTTTTTTGTTTGTCAAGTTTGGTCCAAGCCTCATTTAATTGGGCTTATGTTTTTGTGTGCGTGCTGGTGGGCAGGCACATGAGATACTTCTCATGTTTTAAACTTTTTTATAGGTTTTGCTTGCCCTCCAGAATTCTCCATTTTTAATTTATGTTTGTTATGGAGTTCGAAATAAACTATCTATCTAAATACAGTTTTTTTTTCGCCAAACCTAAATAACAATTTTTATTGAATTGTATACCAATCGAAATCCCATGGGGTGGGATGAGACAAAAAAATATGTCTGATGGTCCATGGACAAGCCTGGTTTTTCGGTAGTATGGATTAAATGTGCATGAAATGTAAAACTTGTACGGTACTTGAAGACTTGTCGTAACTTAATGTTGATACTGTAATCAAATCAATATTTTATTTCAATGCGCCATGATTTGTATCAATTAAAGTGATTGTGTCGGGAGTTTGAAAACAAGAAGTTTAAGATATATTTCTTATCATTATTTTCTCCATTCCAGGACTATGGAGGTTTCCAAAACTGCTTTCAACTCAGCCTGAAGCACATATCAAAAAAATTCGATTGAAATGAATAAAGCTGCTGGACACAGACTCTACTCTAGTCTTGGGTATGAAAGATGTTTTATATCAAGATTTTCTAACTCATGTTTTCACTCTTTGTATTTGTGACATTCCAAGACAAACACTTGAAAATAAATAATTAATGCAATGAAAACAAAATAAAATTTAAATAGTTCAAAGTAAATTTGTCCAAAATGTTTTGGTGGAAACAACTGAATCAATCGGATCAATAACCTTGCAATTAATGTGAATTTCTTTCCCTTCTCCTGTTTTAGGTTCTGTACTGTTATTGTTCAACCATACTTTTCCTATTCTAATCTATCATAGTTGGGTCTGATTCAGGATATTGAAATTTTGAATATGAAAACCTTGTATTCATATACTTTTTTCGGGTGCTATCATATTATTAGCCCACCAGTGAGCTAATCCTAAGTAAGGATTAGTTGGATGAGGCAATAGCAAGACATTACACACTGCGATAATAGACTGGTTTGAACTTCTAGGTCAGCCCTATTCAGCCTAGTATCAAGCGAATGTTTCATGGGTGCTTGTCTAATGTCTTGCTCAGAAATCAGAAATAAAAACCTTGATCAAATCAAAAGTTTTTGCATTCTGCATGAAATAAATTGCAGGTACTCCTGTAGTATGTTCTAGTGTCCGCCCTCTTGGTTCGCATACTACAGGAGTACCAAATTGCACTGTAAATAAATTGCATAAAATCTCACGTGGTAAATAAATTTGCATTTTTAATTTCAAGGTAGCAAGAATATATTGCGATCCGATCTCTCCAACATGAAAACAATAAATTGCGACAAAATTTTACCGATCACCAGAACGCATTGGAACTTATCATGGCCAAGTACCGACAACAGATGATGAAGTTTATCGAGCACCAAACGTATCAACATTTTTTTAAATCCCAGGGTTAGGAAAGTTAATTGTTTTATTAATTTTTTTTCAAAGGTTTAAAATACCATGTATCTAAAGCAAATAAGAAAAACTTGCTAACTAATCCCATATTATGTAATGTTGATATGTAAATTAGCTTTAATATATTCTTATAGTTGTGCACAAGTCACACTCCAGCTTTTCCTACACTTTAAGTAGTTCATAATGTCATAGCTAATGAAATCAGTATTATACTAATAATAAAGAAAATAAGTAATACTACACCAAATACAAAGTTCCTGTCCATATCAAGAAATTCCACCTTGGTTGGGAAAAGTGGTACTTTGAGTTGTTCTAAACTTCTTAGGGAAACGCAATGGTTAACCTGTGATTTTCAATCTTATTTTCTGGTTTGACTCTTAAAAATATTTTCAAGGCTCAGATCATAAAAATGTCGTGCACGTCATTAATGATGTCCTCGTCAAATTAGAAATATTTTAAATACAAACAACAAGCATTTACAGCTACACTGTAACAATCAAAAAACTAATCAGTGCTTTCTAACATACAACAATACATTTTAACTTTTAGGATTAGTCTTTTATTTTCATCTATTATCCCAGGATCATGACAGCGCTGCTGAAAGTCTTGCCGAACAGGCTTCAACTCTCAAGAAAGAGATGGAAGCGAGTATCACATATCAAGAAAATTTGATTGAACTGAACGAAGTTGCTGGACACAGACCAAGGTCTACTTTAGTCTTAGGTAAGACAAATTTTTACAAGAACCAGTACTAGCTTTGCTCATGTTTGTAACGCAATATTTATTCTATTATCTTAACTTGCCAGTACGATATTACCGGACATAAATTGATCGTTTCCTATTTTGTACCAAACTCTGCATGAACAGAAAAGTTCAATTTGAAATTGATTAAGAACTAGTCTAAAATTAGTGGTTACTTTAGATCAAGGGTGCGCAATAGGCAGCCCGCGGGCCACAACCCGACCCACCAAGCCATTCAGTGTGGCCCTCGTCAACGCTCGGATTCTCCCCATCAAGCATAAAATCTGAATCCAACAGTTTATGTCCAAAAACCGCTCATGTGGATAAAAATACATCTTTTCGCTGCGTTAAATCTTTGTGTTTTGTTGGTGCCTTCAATACTGTAAGGCTGAGCAACAGCCATATTATTTTCTCTTGCCTTTTTCACATGGATAAACTAAATTTTTGTGTGGCCCGGCTGACTGTATGAAGTTGGGTATATGGCCAACCGACAAACAATGTTGCAGGCCTTTGCTTTAAAAGGTATAAGTTTTGAGGAGAAAAAATATGAATGTTGATCCAAAAATGTAAATAATAATCAAATGTAAATCTCAAATAATAGTTCTGATGAAAACAAAATTATGTTTGCCAAATTCCTATTTTTATCTTCAAGGTATTCAGCAAGAAAATAATGCAATTTGGTCCCTGCAACATGAGAACGATGAATTGCGACAAAGTTTGATCGAACACCAGAAGGCATTGGAACTTATCATGACCGAGTACAGACAGCAGATGATGAAATTTACTAAGCACCAAAAGTATGTGGATCTTGTCAATGTATTTCATAATCTCAGGGAGAGGAAAGTCTATTGTTTTACTATAAAATGGCTGTATTATTACTAATGAACATTTAATTGAAGTTTCAGTCTTTCAGAATACCTTATGGTTCTAATACGAACAATCCTATTTCCCGTAGAAATGGCAAATTAAGGTTTTTATCCTAGGTTTTGGTCAGTTCAGTGTGGCGGCTCCCCAAGTTTACATTCAAATGCGAGAGTCTATATAATATATGTACAGGGTGTCCATAAAGTCCCTTTACAATTTCAATTTTGTTATGAGGTCAGTTCTCTTAACCATTTTTTTTTTCAAATCGGTAATTGTTTAAGTATTTTTACTTCATTTAGTACATCTGTGAGGGCCGAAACAATATATGGTATCGATAAATTTCTTCCCCATTTTGGAAAATTTTACGACTTTATGGACACCCTATATATTGTTTGAATAATATCGAATACTTGTACTTGTATTTAGTACAAAATATACTTTTTATTAGGTTTAACATTATTATCAGACCTGCTACACTTTAAATTTCGCTATGTTTTGCAAGTATTAGTGTTAAGTATTGTACTGGGGTACCTTGAGCCTATGGAATGTTCCAATGGGTTCCACCCCACCAAAAAGATTGAGAACCAGTGGATTAGGCATATTGAAGCGACAATTCTAAAAGCTAAGAAGAACACATTATAGCATGGGGTGTGCAACCTTTAATACAGGAGGTCCAGGTAGAAATAACTGAGCGAAACCTGTTACGGCATTGTAAAGTCGTAGGCATGTATGAACTAGACTCAGGTATTGGCTTCGCAACGCACAGGGATTGGAATTACTCGCACGTACCAAGTTAAATTTAATTGAAAACTGATTTCGCGATCTGTACACCATTCAAAATAGCCACTCTTGTGGGCCGCATTTGGCCCATGGGCCAGTCGCAGGTTGCACACCCTACATCATAGTATTTGTAAATTAATAATAAAAATCCAAAGCCGTATAGCTGAATAATATTCACAAAGAATAATTATGATGTTTTTCTTGGATTCAAATATTTCAACAAAATCAATGAACCGTGACTTAGCAGCATTAATAATTTTTATTATTTATATCTTTCGTTTTCAGCATCCAGATCACAAAAAACAATATCAAGAAGAGAATATGGAACTCATTGTAAGGTATTGAGACCAAGTTTATTCTAACCCTCAATTATGTCGTAGTGCTTTACTGCTTGGTCAACCCACAATTTCAGTTACCCTGGCCCACAATCCTGGTCCCACGTTTCAGTTTATCACAAATTTGATTATGGGGATTGGTTTTGATGTAAAAGAACATGTTATTAGTCCCATAGCTAAATTCATTAGGTATACCCTGCCAAAAATCCCCTAATCGCTGTAAATATATGCACGATTAACCCTCTGACCACCACAAAATTGTGGCATGGCAAATTGTGGGAGTAACCTTGCATAACATTGAGCATTTTATGTATAATCTTATAGTAGAAACAGTGTGTACCAATATGGAGGTAACTAATTGTGTTTGCCTATTTTACATCAGGTCGTGTAAAGGGACTGAAACCTATGGGTAGAGAGTATATTCACTTGGCTAACACAAACAGTCCCCGAACTCGTAATAGAATAAGGAAAATACGAATGAAATTATGGCCTAACCCTAACCTGGTACACACACTAAGGCAGTACTGAAATAGGCATCCTGATTAATCAAGTTCAGTTTATTATATATTTGCCACTGATATCCAACAATATGTAATGGGCTACTATTGTTGGAAGGACTGGAACCTTTCTTACTCGGCATTCTGTCATTAGTAATGCTGGAGGTTTGACAATATTTATTCAAGCAATATACCTCATCCACATGGTGGCACCAAAGGTTCAAGTTATTTCAAAACAAAAAAGGTGGCAGTTTTATCTTAAAAGACATTGAATTATCTTTACATGTTCAGATCCACGAGATGGTTGCTGTGATGAGGCATGCTGCGGATGTTGATGATGAGCAATATCTCAGAGATTACGAAGAATTATCCCGATTGGAAACAGAAAATGGCATTTTAGGGGGAAATGCTGATGATATCTAAGAGTTAATTTGAATCAAGACTTATAACCACTGAACAGAAAGATTCTGGAAAGGCTGAAAAACCAGAGAATGAATCTAAAATGGTGCTCACTGACGATACTACTCGTGACAAGACAGTTATACATGAAGGGGAATCCCCCTAAGACTACTCCCCAGACAATTATTATATTAAAATAGGGAAGTAGTTTATGTTCCTTCAAAGGGTACTCTCGTAGTATGTGTACCAGGTTCATAATTTCATACAGATTTTCCTTATTTTAGTTCTATTACGAGTTGGGGGACTGTCTATGTTAGCCAAGTGGGTATATCCCCTGCCCATAGGTTTCAGTCTCTTTACACCTGATGTAAAATAGGCGAACAAAATTAGTTACCTCCATATTGGTCCACATACTTCCGGAGCGCCCCTTACTCTTGTTATTCCTTGTGTTTCTATCGAAACTCAGTATTGACAAAATATATCTGGTTCATACAAAGTACTCCACACAAAGCTGTAGACCTGGGTTTCCCAAACTGGGATCCGCGAACCTCTGGGTGTCAGTGATGACTGCACAGGGAGTCCGCAACTATATGAAAGGAGTCTGATCTATCTTTAATGATTGGATTTAACCAGAAAGCCTTTGCATCATCTTGGTTGAGCGCTGCAGACGAATATCCATCGCTCTCAGAAAAGGCAATAATAATTTTATGTGCGAGGCAGCAGTTCTTGCCAATATGATGACAAAATACGGGTCGAGACTTGCAATAGAGTTGAACCTACGAGTTTGCTTGCCACAAATTACTTCAAAAATTGATAAATTATGCAGTGAAAAGTAACCTCATCCATCATATTAACATTGTTTGTGTTGTTCATCCTTCCTCGCTGGTTTGACATAGAAATCGATATGGCTTATTAGCATGGGGGTTTGTCAAATATAAGATAAACAAACAGGGGTCCGCATTTCGGAAAGTTGGAGAAAATACTTGTATGTTCCTTTTGTGTTTAGCTCAGAATTGGAAAAATATATCTAATTAATTCAATGTACTCCACACAAGGCTGACATTGACAGTTGACAGTGATTTATAACCGGGATTCCGTCCGCCAGTACAGTCCAGCGGTTTGCGTTTAAATCCGATAGTCTATAGTATTAAATCTATATTATTAAATACATGAATAATATAATAAGTGTGTTTCATGAGAGACTTTCATTATTCTGCATCAAATTTCTGTTTCCACATTTTTTGATTGGCATTACACTGGAGTTCCTTAAGCCTTTGAAATCTTAACTGGGGTTCCGCTCCTCCATGGAGGTTGAAAAACCACCGCTCTAGACAAGAAACACTCGAAAGGGGTTCAATGTAGCGTCCCTAACATTTGGGTATGGGGCATGATCTTCTACGCAAACTGGTTTCACATTGTGCTCATGCATCAACCTTATTACCGACCTCGGGCCCAAAGTCAGGGATTTTAAATGGAGTTCGTTAGTATTGCAGTCTTGAGTCATAATTTAAAATTAGATGGCCCGAATTCGAGATTTTTGGAAACGCCTGTGATTTTGTTGTTCTCGAGTCCTAGTTGATAGATTTTTGTCAATTTCAAATTATCTAAAATTTTGTTATCAGGGAGTCCAATTTCGGGTCCGTTTTTGTCAACACTGGAGCAGTTTCTCAAACGAATGTTTAACTAAATAGAACCTTTATAAAGAAAAAGGAAAATGCAAAGTTGGAATATTGCACATCTGTGACACGCTGTTTTAGCATTTTGAGGTTTTATAGCAATTGGGGGTGCCAATTTTGATTGATGTGCGGGTGCGGCCAACTATAGGGAGTTTTTAATTTAGTAATTCCAATTACTTTGCGTTGCGGAGCCTATACCCCGAGTCCAATCTATGCCTATGAGGTTACAATGCCCTAATAGCTAGCTTGTGCAAAGCGAACTACGCATGTCATAGGATCAATAACCAAAAATTTTGTGCCTGCAACAACTAAAAAGCATATGTTAAATAAGTTGCGGCCTACGGTTTCACCCAGTTATTTCTAAAGGTTGCACACTACTGGTGTAGGGATTGGCCAAATCAACAATCTAGTATTTGAAATAGCACTTTTGAACATATTCTTAATGTTCAGTAAAGAACACAAGGTTCTTGTTTCTTGAATATTGATTCGAATCAGATTGAACATTCCTAATACTCCATCATGTTGGATATATCCAGGAATAAAAATGTTTTAATTTGTTATACAATTTATTTATTAAACAATGTTATTGAAATGTCAACTGAAAGCAGATTTTCTGAATTATTATTGATTTAAAGACAGAAATCACGATACTCCTGTAGGGTTAGGCCATAATTTTTTCTGATTTTATTTCTATTATGAGTCCGGGGACTGTCTGTGTTAGCCAAGTGAATATACCCACGCTCATAAGGGACTTGATGTAAAGTCGGTGAACAAAACTAGTTACATCCATATTGGTACACACACTTCTGGAGCACCGAAATCTCTATGCCAAGGACTTTGTTATTCCATCTTGATACACACAACTGGACCCCATTCCCACCTTCTCATCCAGGGTGTAATAAATCGGTTTCTAGGACTGGTTTTATACATTTGGAGTGGAAAAATGGAAAATTAGCCGTCTCCTATTTTAAACTTGAATGGTTTCAAGTGAAGAAAACAGCGTGATAATCATTTAATATTAAATTGGTTCGAATAACACTTGGATGCATGTCAAATTATTTATGAAGGGGAAATGTATACAAAAGATTTTACTGGAATGATATCTAAGTGATATTTTTACTTCTGAAGTCTTGATAGGTTGTATATACAGCATTGGCTTGATTGCATAAATTGTTATGAAATATCAACACATTTGTTTTATATTGAACTGGTTCGAGAACACATATAATACACTTGAGCACATAGACAAATTAATTTTGATGTGCAAGAGAATACAAAGTCACATATTTCCATAAAATTATTTTGAAGGAACTCTTTGATTTGTATATTGTCAAATGCTTCATAATAGGTACTCCTGAAGTATGCGAACCAAGATGGCAGACACCGGAACGTAGTATGTGTACCAGGTTAGGCCATAATTTCAGTAACAAATACTACGGCATAATTTTATTCCAATATTTCTTATTTCAGTTGTATTACGAGTTCGAGGACTAGCCAAGTGACTCCCATAGTATTTGTTACTCGTTTATGGCCTAACCTGGTACACATACTATGTTATGGTGTCCGCCACCTCTGTTTACATTCTACAGAACTTGGCTTGGTTGTGTAATTATAAAAATAAAACATGAAAATGCTATTGAATATTGATAGATATATTCAGTGGTGGTTGATAATTAGGACTTCAGAACAATTGAATAAATCTATTGAAATGTGGTATTTACAGTAGCAGTGGGGATCATAGGGAAAAAGTATACAATATGCCATAAAAATATTATAATAAAATGCATAAGAATAACATTGAAACCTAGATTAATAATATATTTAGTTGTGGATAGCAATTGGGACCCATGGTAGAAATAGAAAGTATGAAATAATGGACATTCGAGTATAACCTGCCACAAATTGTCCAAACAATTTTCAGGTATTGTGACCGACGCAAAAATGCAAGTTGTTTCAACATCTTATTTTAATTTATAAAGAATTAATGCGACTAAATAGTGTTTTTTATTAAATTGACTCCCCCAAATTTAATATATTGACAATACAACCATCCTGTTAGCCTAGTGTTTGGACTAAACAATGTTGGCATGTCTGATTAAAGAACCCAGGTCATACACCCACCACCTCCAAGTTCAATCACCACCACACCCAGAGTGTTGTATAGAGTGATGAACAGGATTATTTCACGTGATTTAGTGCGATATAGAAGTTCCATATTCGGTACTCCTGTAGTATGTGAACCTAGATGGCAGACACCAGAATAGGGTTAGGCTATACCGATAATTTCAGGTATAAATACTATGGGAGTCACTTGGCTGGTCCATGAACTCGTAATAGGACTAAAACAAGGAAAATTAGAATAAAATTATAGCCTGTACTTACTACGTTCCGGTGTCTATAGTCTCGGTTCACATACTACGGGAGTACACCATATTTATATTTAGCAGTCACAGATATCTAACAATATGTAAAGAGCTAGTATTCATTTGAAAGTACCAGAATGTATACAGCTTGTCATTGCCCACCCAATCTAATACACTCTGGGTGAGGTGAGGAGTGGAATCTAAACATGAGCACTGTCAAGTCTTATGCTTTAGCTGCTTAGGCTGTTTCAATTATTTCATAAAATGCCCATATCCATGTCGCTTAGGGCATTCTACTTATTGATATGCCCATTAGCCATACAGCAATGGCACAAATATATTTTCTCAAAATATTCACCATTTTCATCTTATAAATTAGTTGATCAAAGACACCATTTGCACAATGGCTGTAATGGCATTATTGCTTTGACCTTTGATGTAGTTTTGATTTAGGCGAGGTCAACGTCTCAGTTCAGTATCCCATGCAGTAAGAGTGAAACCAGTGTTGCAGAAAATTCTTTCTTGTCTTTAACTTATTCACAATACCCCCCATAAATGCTGTGAAATGAAATAAATATTATTATGTGAGTCAATCGAAAAAAAGACAATTTGTCAATCCGTGCATTATGATAGGGCAGCTTATTCACACACAATATGCTTGTGTTATATTTATTATATCTATCCAGGCTCCACATTTCCCAAACTCCAAAACTAATTTTTTGTCTCTAGTAAAATTCCAGTATCTCTGAAAAATATTAGTCATTTGCCTTGTCCAGAGGTAAAATCGTAAAAACGTGAAAAAAAAAAACATTTTTTCCCATATTATTAATTATTATTAATAAATTATATACACACTGTTTTGTCATCACTTCAATAGTGGATTGTCAAAGAACCTACATGAAATCAAAAGAACTGGGTGGATGTAAAAGTGGGACCTTGAACCCATATTGTCAATAAAATCTACACTGCACATAGTGTGTCTCATTGGAGATTGCGCTTTTGAATTTGCATTCTAAAAGCTTCGAAATCATGTTATTGTGTCATCATATGTGACAGTAGAGCACTTTATGATGTCTTTAGGGCTGGGCTTTTCAAATCGAATTATTAGAATCGGAGAAAATTTCATGTAAACAAGCAACCCTAATCTACCTTCGATACCAATGCAAGTTCATTACTCAATTCAATTTTAAGTGATGATTATCTAACTTGTTATTTCAGGAATTTAAGTTTATTCGTATGTGTGCATGTTGGGAAAAGTGAGCACAGCAATATTTTGCCAAAGTGTCAAATGAATAAAACTATCTCACCCATCCATCATACTTGGAATCCTTTTTCCAATGCTTCTTTCAGTTTCATTAAATGGTTTGGATCTGGATATCCATTGCTGAAAAAAAATAATTCATGAACTCTGTTTGAGCATGTTCCTAGAAAAATAATGGAAATTTGGCAAGTTTTCTGTTTAACAATAACAGATCCTGCCCGGAGAGTATTGAAATACAGAATTGGGTTCTAGGAATAAAAAATATTCAGCGCTCCTGAAGCATGTGAACCAAGATGGTGGACACCGGAATGTGGTATGTGTACCAGGTTTGGGTAAGGCCATAATTTTATTGCGATTTTCCTTATTTTAGTTTTATTACGAGTTCGGGGACTAGCCAAGTGACTCTGAAATTATAGCCTAACCCCAACCTGTTACACATACTAAGTTACCGTGTCCGCCATCTTGGTTCACATACTTTAGGAGTACCAAGATTTTGTCTGAGTAACCAAGAAAAGGTCATGATGGGGCTACAAACTATGGGTTGACAAACATTTAACTTTACCATAAGAGGCCATTTTAGTTTCTGTTAAAAAATTTGAGAAAACTTAATGTATGTCAGAAATTTCGACTTTTGCTTCAAAATTAAAACGTCTAAAATTAAAAAAATGATTAAGAAAATATGACTCTAGTTTTGAACTCGATACCAAAAAAATGTCAAAATTAACTTCTCTCTCGGCTCCCGTCACAGATCCTTACAATATCAAATAAAATGAAAATCATGCTGACTCATAAAGTCATAGCAAATAATCTTCTGTACACGATGACCAGGCAGTTTTATTAACATAGTTGATCAGAGTGAACTATAAGAAAACCATTTGTTTGGACTTGCTCAGAATGAATTATATAAAAACCATTGGTTTGATAAGTCTCTGGTAGTTATAAAACGTTAAATCCCAGTAAATTTGATAAATCATTTCCATATAAAAAATGAGTTTACTTTTCTTCTGAATAAACCCAGACAAAAATGATGAAATGAACCTGAATAATTTTTAGAAAGCTATTTTATCCAATATGCCTTTTATGCTTTGCAAATCGTGAAAAATAAATTCCAATATCCTTATTGGTGAAATTTATTCCCTATAATTTTATTAAGCTGTTAAAATTGGTCTCCCAAAAGAACTTTATGTTGTAATGCAATACAAAGGGATAATAAAATTTTTAAATTAGTTTTACTCTTTCCTATTTCCTAACATTTTATGAAGTAAGTAACCACCAAACATAAAACACACAAAGTACTTACTTCTCAGGTCCTCCAGTTTTATTAGTCTTATGGGGAAACTCATCGTTCCAAACAATTTTTCCTCTTCTGTCACCAACTTCCTGAATCTTAAAAATCAATCCTGCATTGAATGCTTGATAGAGTAAGTTGAAACATATCAGTCCATCATCACCATCCCACGGCAAATATTCAGTGAATTCTTGAGCTTCATATGAAACCCCCTGAAGAAACAAACAAAACTAATCATCTATCATACCTGGGGGTTTGTTAAACTTATATAAATATCAGAATATCTATGAAAGTTTAGCAGAATTTGAAAATTTTCTAACAAAATACTTGGTTTTTCTAAAAAATTAATTCAACTTGACAACCCAGCATGTTATGTTATGGCTATGTTATGATTTTACTGCACAAATGGATTCTATATTCGAACTTTTTCTCAATAACCTTTCAAAGCTAAGATTTCCATTAGAAATGAATTCAATCAGCATACCAGTTTAAATTAATTACAGATGGACAAAGCATAAACCAGAGTCAACCCCATATAAGCATTATACAAAATACTGCCTGATTCTGTATATTTCTATGAGAAGCAATAACTCATGTGAGTGAATGCAAACATTTAGCTTCTGGACTGTGCAATGGCCTAACACAGTGGATACCAAAGGGTGTGCCGCGGTGCACTAGTGTTACGCAACAATAAAGGTGGACACTGCTTGCTGCAATTTTCCAAGCCGCAGTTTATTTATCTGTTGAACAGAGTTTGTTTAGCGTTTCAAAATAAAATCAGGCAGAGAAAAGTTGACATTAGGCCTATATGTTTATAAATATAAAGTACACATTAATGATCACAATATTGAATTTTAATCGAATTTTTTCCCGCCGTTAGCAGTTTTTTTCCTAATAATTCAGCGCTGCACAAACAAAAAGTTTTGAAACAGTTGGCCTAATGGTTGAAGTGTTGGACTGAACTAAGCTGACATCACATATTGAACATCTCGGTTCAAATCCCCATCACAACCACCTCACCCAGGATGAAATAAATTGGATAGGAAATGCAGAACCAGAAAATTCGAAATAATAATATCTCCTTGAATATCATTAGATATCAGTGTCTGATAGCTTAAATTTCATTAAATATAAGATAAGACAGAATTAACATATAGGGCCTTGTCCCGAGCTAAAGGCATGAATAAGCATCGCATAAAAAAGTAACATGACAGTACTATTATAAGGGATGTCTTTGCCATTTAATCAAAATCCCCATATTTGGAGAATTTATGAAATAAAGGGTATAACAGAAAATTTTCTATTTTCCATTGAAACTTTTGTTCACATGTTCCTTTTAGTAAATGTGGCGGTCCCTAAGTATTACTTTCAACAAATTGTGATCCTTCATTTATTGCACTGGTATTTAACTCAGGAAAAAAAATTTAAATCAATCGATGTTCAAATATGCTGATGTGCAATGGGGATTGATATTAAGAACAAAAACCTTCTTGATTAAGAATCTTGATTCCAGTAAATCTATGATTTATTTTCCAACCAAAAATTAAATTTGCTTCATAACTCACCATCAGACTTCCAGCAGGAAATGAGTAGGTGATGACAAGAGTCAACTCTCCTTCATATCCTGGCAGTGATTCTTGCAAGAAATCCCATGACTGCCTCCCATGAGATGGTTGTTGGTTAATGATTCTTAGACCAGAAGTAGTTTGACTTGAAGACTGAGATTTTGCACCTGGATAAATGAAACCAAAACTTAATGATAAAAATAAGGTTTGTCCTTATTTGAGCAAAAATGCTTGTGATTGAGGGTTCAATGATATGTAAAATACCATGATATGTAAAAATTATATATTTAAAGTATGAAAATTATGGTACCTAGATGTAATTGAGCTTTTTTTGGTATTTTGGGACATGACCATGACCTAGTGCAGGGTGGTCCAAGTTTGTCGGCCTCGCGGGCCACACTATTACTTTTGTATTGTTCACGGGCCACAATAGTGCCAAGAATAAGTCAACAGTGCAATACAAAACAAGCACTTTTATTGTTATTGCACATTGATCATTATCAAGCTAAAACATGCAAAACCACCAAAAAAACTAAAATGTGCAACAATCTTACAATATCTACATTTAGTGTGAGATTTCAAACTCTTCATAACAGAGAAAATGTCGTTTTAGATTGTCACCGACACAACTTGCACACATATCAAGCAAGCATTGGGTTATGTTCCCTCCTATATTCAGTCAGAAATCTGTTTGAATTGGTCAGATTTCTTTTCAAACTCATGTTTACAAATAAACTTACAAATAACTGCAGATTACCTGATTACCGAACTTTATTCCAAATTTGAGATACAGGAGGGTAATACCTAACTTTTCTGACATTTTTTGTAATACTGTTTAGGCTGGTTGCGATAAACCACCCGGCAGGAATTATATTGTCCGGCCATAAAATAATATTTATTTATCAGGCATAGCCGACCTAGGTTGATAGATTCCTCATTACATTTTTAATTTTCTATTGAGCCCTTTTTTGTTCCTGACCAAAAACATAGAAAGCCAGTTAACAATTTAAACTAGTCAAGCACATTATCCAACTTCGCAGTTGCCTCAGCTAGCCATAACACTAGTCAGTTCAGTGACACTAGTGATGTAACAATATGTTGAAAGATTTTTTTTGGGCAATTATTATGACGAAACAACACCAAATGCGAATTTTTGTTTACCCTCCCGCAAATGCAATGCAGGCCACAGATAATGAAGCAGCGGGCCTCTCGTGGCCGCGGGCCTGGGTTTGGACCACCCTGGTCTAGAAGTTGAAGCGCTAAATTTAACTGTGAGATGGCATTACAGATTACCCATCACTGGTTCAAACATGTTAGGTAGGCAATGCCTCGCACAAAAAAAATATGTTTTTTATAAATAAAGTGCCTTTTTACATATCAATACTGTAGTGGCTGCAAGTATATGGCCTTGTTTAACATCTTCTAAAATTATTTAATGTAACAGATTTTTGAGACTAGAATTAAAAAACAAGACTGACATAGGCAACTTCAAATATGCCGAGTCGTGAATTTATTCAGTAACAGACACCTGGATCAGAGACATCAGTTGGATTGAAATTTACTTCATTTTTATAAAATTTATTCATAGATACGGTTTTGGAAAGCCAAGGCTTGTAAAATTAGTGCAATTTGGTTTTGTACCTATTAATGCACTTGAACATAAAAAAGGTCTTCAATATTATCGTATTTTTTCACCGATAGCCAATAATCTGCAGCGAATCTTTAGCCCGAAAATGAAAGTTTTGATAAGAGATATTCCAAATTCAGTGTGAGAACCCTGATTCATGAAAACTGACTGGGAAGGCTCGTTATCCCTAATTTTCAGTATTTAACATATAATAAACCTTTATTTCTATTACCATTAGGTGGTGTCGAACTGACAGTGCCATAACCTGATGCACCTCCAATGGCAGAAGATCCTTCCTCATTATCCTCTGAAGAGCTTGAATCTGGTAAAGCCAAGGGTTTCTCTGCATTTGGTTTTTCTTCAGCTTTTGAAGACAGACGGGAAAATAATTCGTCCACCAGCGAATCGTAACATTTATCCGACTTTTTTACTAAGGGTTCGAGTCGAACTGTCTCTTTAAGAAACTCGAGAGATAATTCTGTGAGTTTAATGAAACTAAACAAATCTTGAAAAATTTTTCTTCGGTTTTTGACATCATGTTTCACCCATTTGATCATCGCCTCGTATTTGACAGCCTCAGAAGAATACTTTGTGCCTGAAGATTTGAAAAGTCTTATTATGTCATCCTTGCTAATATCAAGAAATTCATTTTTCTTGCTAATTTGTTCAAAATTTGTCTCCAAGAATCGATTAATGGAATCCTTAACTGTTGTTTGTTCAGGAATTTGATTGGTTTCAGAAAGATTCTTCAAGATAAAACAGTTGTCAATATCTAGGTCCGTCTCAAGTTTTTTGCCATCAGAAAATAATGCAGTGATTACCGATTTCTCAGCTGTTTTATTGTTTTTAACAATAGGTTCTTCAAGGACAGTTTGTAAAAGAAATTTAAAGGGATATTTCTCGATGCTGACAAGTTCAGAAACATCTACTTTATCTTTTCTTTTTGCCCATGTTACCACAGCTTTCCATGATGTTTGGTAAGTCTCATTTCTCATGTAACGCAAGAGATCTGATTTGGTGACGAATGGAAACATCTCGGAAGAAATAACAGATTCGAAATTATCAATCACGACTTGTTCGGCTTGTTGTTTTATATCACGGCGATCATACATTTGAGCCAAGTTGATGACAGAGAGACAATTTATCGGAGAAATGTTAATTTCCAAGAATTGAAAACAAAGATTCGTTAATTCCTCCATTTGTAAAAGATTGGAAGCATGCAGGATATGCTGAATGTTTTCTATTTTCAAATCTGCCTTTCCTTTATACATGAACTCTACACATTGTGCGATCCCATTCTGATCGACATCCTTCATATTAACGTGACCATCATGAACTTCCTTCAAGTTGCTTGAAAACATGGCTTCAAAGTATTCTGAAGAGGCTGCCAAGACAGTACGATGCACTCGGAATGATTTTTCACCAACGTTGATGTTGAAATCGCACAGAAACCCTTTCTCTTTAAACCTGTCATATGATGTCATGAGACGATCTGACTGTTTTGCTCTAGCCTGGTCTATTACTTTCGAATTCATCTTCATACATCAACAGACACTTACAATTTAATCCTTAAACTAAGATCTAAAAATATTAGTTTGGTTTTTTATCGAGGATAAAATGCACAAACACACGTTTATCTATTACAAATTAGCTTCAACTTTACTAGTTCAGCTCACAAACGACAATGAATTATTGCGCCAATAAGTTAATAATAAGTATTTCTCTAGATCAGCTGTTCCCAGAGTAGGCGATATCGCGCCCGATTGGCGAAAGCGATACAGAAGGGGGCGACAAAGTCGAAGGGGGCGATGAAGGACAATTTTGCAAAACCTGTTTTTGTTCGACGACTGGCACATCGTACATTTGATTGGTGTACCCTGCGCGTGTTCCCAGGTTTGAATCCAGTGGGCGATAATCACACACGAAAGGGTTGCTGGACTCCTCCCCGCCGTGAGGTAGTTTGCAAAGCCCATGAGTCTGCAACCTACGAGAGATGCATAACTGCTTGATTTTTATAAAAAATTTTACTTCAAGGTTTGGAAGTACATATATGTGCGACCACTAATATAACTCTGGCTTATATACTACAATGTGGCTATAACTTTCAAAGTGTAAATGGGAAAGGCTATGGCAAACTGGAAAAATATATCAATCACTAATTTCATTATAATCTAACAAAGTAAACTCTGGAATATAATTTGGCTCAAGGTGTAGACCATTTTTTAAACAGAATTCTAACAAAGTTGAAAATTAAAAGTTCTACACCAGACTAAACCAAGCAGGTATTAATAATATTTTCCAAGTCCCTAAAAAGTTCACTGTGTATTCATACAAATTGAAATTTTGAATAAATAACTTGGTATAAATTAAAAGGGATTTGGTATAAAAGTATGTGAATTTGTCAATGCACATTTTCCGTTTAGCTGATGTCTAGGGCTGTCCAAGTGAACCAAATATTCAAAATCGAATCTCAAATTATTCAAATCGTTTTTCGGCTTATTTCCCAATCGCTAAAGTTAGGTACAGAAAGCGGAAACCACCTTTGCAGGACGTTTTTCATCGGACAAGCGGCGGCGGGGCTTCGAGCTTAGACCACTCTCGCTCCCGGCTTAATTGATTTCCCGGTATTTCTTTCGCCTTCATTTTATGATAACACATGTCATTCCTATTGCCCGCCCGATAGCACGTGATTAGCCATTTCATGCATGGTCATCATAACTTAAAAGGGATAATCGGTAATGACGTTTTTGAGAGAGAACAAGGAGAAAAAAGCAATTTAGAAAACGATAGTTCTATAAATAGAATCGATTTGAAGCTGCTGAATTAGTTATCATGAGAACATGGTTCGAGCAACTCAAAGCTGAAACAGGTGTTTTGGGATCCTTATGATGGCAAAACCTTGTGTCTTGGGATCCTTATGATGGCAATACCTTCTTTCAATAGAATTTGTAATTTCTTTTGATGGAAATACTGTATTATCCATCTATATACCAAGACCAATAATTGCACTCTTGAATTTTGATGGCTGTTGTACACTAACAATATTATAGTCATCACAAATATTGTCATCAGATTGCAATTTTTGAATTGTGCAATTTTTACTCTTAACCCTCAACAGTTTGAGACCCAAATTTTGGAGTCCTTCAATTTTTTTGACCAGTTCATACAAGCGTGTGACCTCTGAAAACATTTTATTGCAAAATACCAGCAGTAAGTAAGATGTAACTGCACATACGTTACCACAACATCAAAGGGCAGGTGTTTATTGTATAATAGAGACAGATTATTCGATTATTCGGTTCGAATCAAAAAATTATTCGATTTTGGACAGCCCTACTGATGTCTCTTCCCTGGTATATTAAGTCAAATATATACATATATCCCCACATATAAGCCGATCCCCTAAAAACGTCCATAAAGGGGTGAATTTGTAAAAAAAAAAACTCATACGAGCCGACGCTGCAAATTGTAACACGCCGTATGGACCTACTATCACAGCAAATTGTTGCAGAATTGAATTAAGTTAGCATAATGTCTTTTCGTTTGAGTCCGATCAGAGTTATGCACGTATAAGCGGACACACAATTTTGGCAACTTTCCTCTAGTTTAAAACTAAGCTTATATGTGACGATATAGTACTCAATCATTTACCAAATCAAAAATCACAATAAGTCATCCATAACTCTGCTGAGACTTCAGAGCATAATATAATCTGATTCCCTGATGCTGTAATTACATGCACAAATTGGTACACTTTAAAAGCTGTTTACGTATTCAGCTACAGGTAATATTTTATATCAAATCAGTTTTACGCTATTAGTCTACAAATTGAAAGGTTCAGACAACAGCGCTAAGTTCAATTCAAACCAGGTTCTGTCACTCATATTAATTTTGGATAATTGGTTTTCCTTAATGCCAACCCTGCCATTCATTGTATCCTGGAATCAAAAAATATTTATCTCACACTAAAGTATTTACTGCAGCGGCTCCAAACCGGGGGATACAGAGCAGTCGGAGGAGGGCGCAGAATTGATTTCCCATTTGCCTTTACAAGAAAACTCCCCGTTCTTACTAGTTTCATTGCCTTATATGGTTATTTCACAAGGTGTTTCACATTGTTGAGCATGAATTGTTTAAGCATAATGGGATTTGAAATCTACCAATAATAATAACACTATAAATACCCCTGAAATGATAAACAGAGGGGCCATTAGTGCTAAAAACTTCCGGAAGGGGGCCATGAGCACATAACTATCTTTACATGGGATTCAAACCTACGATCCCATGCAGAGTAATCAGAACATATTCCTAACACTTAGCATGATGAGACACACCGCAGCGCTGCCAATATATTAATATACTGAATCTGAAGAATAATATGAATGTTGAATTTGTCATACAAATTGATTTACTGAGCACAATCTTGGACTTTTTAAATATCCTGTTGTTCACTAATTCTCTGATGATTTCATAATTTCTTTAAAATCACATTATCTGCTTTTCAATTTAAAAATGTGCAACAAAGTTTGGCTGGCAACAGTTTTGTATGTTAGTTCATGCATATGCAACAATCAAATTTGTGAACAATTTTTATTTGGTCATGAGGGGCTGGCTTGCATTATTTTGGTAATGAAAAAAATCAAATAGTCTACCAGGTCATAGTCATGTACTTTATCAAAGTATTTTATCTATGTTAAAATGTAATACTGCAGGAAATCCGTTTTTATCAGCGGTATTCGAACACAGTCTAACTTTAGCATACATGATGCAAACATTTTTCGGTTTTGTAACATTCCTAGTATATGCAAGAGAACTGCTAGTATTTCTGTTATTACAGGGTAGTTCTCATAATTCTGTAATTGCTGATCTGTACAGCTTGTTTTACTAATCAATCCATACATTTTAAGCAATCAATTAGTTCAATAAACAATGCCAGTATTCCCATACCAAAGTTGGATTAACCGTACTGTCAGACTGTACAGCTGTACTGACAGACAGGTGACAAAATAACTGGACATGGTTCGCCATACGATTTATAATCCAGCTTATCAAGGTTATTTATAATAACAACAAATATAGTATTATAAATACACCAGTTAAGGAAAAATGTAAGTAAAACAGAAAATAGCTAAAAAGAGATTTATACCCACTTACATACAACTACCCACTTTCCCAGCACTCTTACAGCTGTTGTGAATCAAGCAGAAAACAAGGAACTACCGGTAATAATTCTGGGGTTTTCAACGAATTCCCACACAGTAAAAAAACTCCCCCATTGAAAATATTTCTTCAAATAAACAATTTATAATCCTACACAGAATTAAAGTTTAGAGACAATAAAGCAAATTTTTTACATTACTTAGACTTATTGAGTAATTAGGGGTAATATTCGCAAACCATGGAAGACTATACAAAAAAGATTAGATTTATTAGGGGGGAACACTATGATTCCATGAAAAATATATGCAAGTCTGAAGGTTTAAAAAACAAAATAAAATACCATCAGAAACTTGCCAACTACTTTGGACAAAGATTTTTAATAGTCACAAGTTGAAGTACAAAAGAACGGTGGGCAACAAATTATGGTGGGCAACAATATTTTACTCACATTTAATGCAAACTCAACAATTTGGGACCAAATTCAAATATCAATTCGCTTTTGGAAGTAACTTTAATCACAAGCATGTGTTTCATTCACAACTCTGTAGAGGCTTTGAAAAACAACAAAAAAGAGATTGTTTCCATATTTGGCGGGGACAAAAATTTGATACAGTGATTTTGAAAAATTTTTGAGGCCACGAGTATCATATAATAAATGATCAGAAATGAAGTGTGACCTAAGGGTATATAAGCCTTCAAAATTTTAGATGACTGTCAGTCTTTCGCGACTCCTTATCTATTGCTAAGAATCTCTCACTTGTATGAATTCTTATGTGTATAATTACATTTCTTACGATTGTCATTATAAACTCGTTTTATGAGCCTATAATGTTCAGTCTTCGCACCCTGCTTAAAATTCAACTTCTGATCTGTGTGATAAAATGAGATTCATCGGTCATCCATTCGATTTTTAACATTCTAAAAATATGTGCGGCCCGCCAATGACTTGCAACCTTTAATTTTGGCCCGCGTGCGACAAAAGGTTGCCGACCCCTGCTGTAAGTGTTGAACCAGTTCTTTAGTGGCTGCTTATAGCGCTGAGTTTTGTTCAGTGCGATCATAGTCTGCTCCGAATTGACCCGCTTAAAATAAGCAACAAAGCCGACATATTTTCAATCTAACTTCATTCAATCCTTTCCCTAAATTTTCTAGATTTAATGGGTGTTCATGATTTGAAAAATGTTCCGAATAGAAATATTAGATTAACTATATATTGGTGACGCTGTTGTTCACAGGGGAATCCCCCATTCAAATCCAAGATTCCTCAAACTTCGACCAGCCGTTCCGTGAACCCACCAGTCCAGCATTCTTCTCCCACATAATCAATGCGACTGGGATTCGAACATCACGAGATCAAAGCCCATATATACCTAAGTTGCGCAACAATGGTAATTGGCAGCCATTTTCGATTAACGTCGCCTGCGAGGTTACGGCGGTTCTCCGTGATCCTCGGCTAGGCTGGTACCTTCTGCTATAAAATTACAGGCTGCTCGGCGTCTAATTGCAGTGGGAATAGAAAACAGTGCAACTATTGAAGCTATCAGCAGATGCCGAGAGAAGAAACAAATGGGAAAATAATTGTAGAGGCTGCAAATTTGGCCCTGGCAGTTCGTTGTGTGAAGTTAGTCCAGTGTTTCCCAACCCGAGTCCGCGGTCTTAAATGAGTCTGCGAAGCATTTGAATGAGTCCGCAACGAGCCAGAAATTCACGGCGGGCGCAAACTCTTTCGCGAAGTTTAACTATAAGCCAAATTACGATTTACGTTAGAATTTACATAACACATAAAAAGAAAGTTTATTCAAATAACATTAATCAAGTCGATAATTACTGGTTACTGAGTAGGGCTGGGCATATATTCAACTATTAGAATACCAATTTACAATTTGAAACTTTGGTAACAGGTGACGCGACAGGTCGCTTGCGCGTCGCTTAATCAGACTTGCGGAATTTCGACGAAAACACGAGGATGCACACGCTTTGATAAATACCGATAGTGGTGTTTCTTGCGAGTTTGAGCAACGAGGAATAAATTTGTGGTGGATGTCAATGGTGGAAATCCAAATTTTCTAAATTGAAAAGCGGCAATACTAAAAATAAACCGGAGAACGCTATCAGTTTTGTTTTATGATGGTCCGCGACCGATTAATAACGTTTTTTTTAGACATTGCAAAAGGCAAAATTTCGGGTGCTACTGTAGGTAACGTACCAAGGCATTTTCCTTCTGGATTCTTTGCTTCACTGCCTCTACATCTTCACAGCCTCTACATTGGTAGGTACAGTACTGGAGCGTTGTACCAAAAGCTCAGATTTATCGAATTCACAAAAATACGAATTAATTAAAACAAAATATTATCGGGCCACGCATTTTTGTGTCCACAGATTGTCATGATATTTTCTGAGCAGTATTGCTTTCTTCTTGTCAACACAACCGCGGATTAAAATGATTTTTGATTTACTAATGATTTTCGATTCACCAATATACTTTGAGTATATTTTTAACAAGTACTAAATCAAGTTGTACTTTCTGGCAATTTAGAGCAGATAGCAGGATTTTTCTAACGACGATTACAAATTCGCAAGATCGCAAAAAATATGTTTTATAATCAAATATATATAATGGGGCAATATATTTTCACATTATTATGTTCGTAGATTGCCGTGGCATTTTGAAGAAGTAATGCTTTCATCTTGTCGTAAGTCGACGCAACCGCGAGTTACCATG